AGACATGATCGAAATTAGAGAGGGAAGGTAGAATTTCAAAATTTATTTTTATTTTATTACAATGCTTAATACTGAGGAGAAGGAGGAGAAGGGTCAGACTATTTACTTGGTCAGCTCACCGGAAATTATATGGGAAAAAAGAAAAAAGGGGGAAGTAAAGAAATATGAGATGGATGTAGGGCCTTGAAGGAAGGAAATGACTGGTATATCTTGTTAGTATATATATATATATATATATATATATATATATATGGGAATGGGGCGTCGCTATTTCGATGCGGCCGATTGGGCATAGCCGACCCAACATAGCAAATTTTTGGCAGAGGGACGTTTAGGCATTACTACTTCATCGTTAGAGTCTAATTTGTTCTCTCTCTCCCGCTTTCTGTCTGTCTGTCTGTCTGTCTGTCTGTCTGTCTGTCTCTCTCTCTCTCTCTCTCTCTCTCTCTTTCTCTCTCTCTTAGTAGTAAAATAATTAGTACTATTTAAGAAAATGAGTAGGCGGAGGCATTTTAGTAGTTAAAAGAAAGACTAGTTATAGTTATTTTTATATAAAATTTTTCACTCGTCAAAGCCTTCTTATTCCTAATGGAAGCAAATATTTTATCAAAACATGGTAGAAACAAAGTGATACACAATGGATAGCTTTTATATTTTTGACGCAACGAGCAAGAGGATTCCTGAATTAAAGTTTTGACTCATGTGAACAGAACGATCGATGTAAAGTGAGTGTGTGTCTGTATGTGTGAGTGTATGTGTGTCTGTGTGTCTGTGTGTGTGTGCGCGAACGCGTGTGTGCGTGTGTGTGTGTGTGTGAAAATGCTGAATAAAAAGAAAGAAACAACATAATGGGAAATGTCGGCTCAGGACAGTAATGAGTTAGAAAAACATTTAATTTATATATATATATATATATATATATATATACACACACACACACACACACACACACATATATATATATATATATATATATATATATATATATATTATGACTCAGATTGAGGAACAGTTAGGAAAACTAGAATAGCAAAAATGGGAAAAAAGTCGAAATTAAAAACAAAATGGAAATAACATACAACAGTAATAAGGAAAATAACTAATCCATAACAACAGCAATAATAATAATAATAATAATAATAATAATAATAATAATAATAACTCTCCGAATTCTACAAGAAACGGACGTTTCGGGACGAAGCAGAGGACGTGTTAATTGTAAGGCTGGCAGAAGGTTTTTAAACAACCTAACAGCTCAGCCAAGCACTAATGAATCACGCGTAAAATTTATACCTGAGAAAACTGTGGCAAGGCAGGTGCATGTCCTGAGGACTGAAGAAAATCTGAGGGAGGTCGATTTGATGATGTCTATTCTGGTTGTGTATTCTTGGGAAGTGTGTATGAAAAAAAGTAACTTTACGTGGACAAGGAAATGTCAAATTTGTTTTACAATGCTTTTAGTACGCGGTATTCTCTTTCGTTGCAGATGCAGAAGTCCAACGTGTAATTATGACGATAGATATTTTTGTGTCATCAACATAATATTTCACCTGAGTATAAAATTGTGCAGAAATATTGCAACGACGACGTCACGCCGTCCTGGTATTAATCTTGGAAGATAAAAAATATGCAAAAAAAAAAAAAAAAAGAAGAAAATACGAGAATAATGCGTTCTGAAGTTTTGATCGTAATAAACGCCAATAACGTGAGAATTTGCGATAGAAAGCAAAAGGTTCAATAATGATTTACACAACGCCATGAGAAGAAAAAGAAGAATAAGAATAAGAATAGGAAGAAGAAGAAGAAGAAGATGAAGAAGAAGAAAAAGAAGAAGAGGGGAAGTGGAAAAAGACTTCTTCTTAATATTATTACGACTACTAACTAAACGTAATAATAATAATAATAATAATAATAAGAAGAAGAAGAAGAAGAAGAAGAAGAAGGACAAGAACAAGAAGATGATAGCGAGAAAAATAGATATGAGGTGAAGGAGAAAATATAGTACTACTACTACTAAAATTGATAGAAGAAGAAGAAGAAGAAGAAGAAGAAGAAGAGATAAAGAAGAAGAAGAAGAAGAAGAAGAAGAAGAAGAAGAAGAAGAAGAAGAAGAAGAAGATAGTGAGCAGAAAATAGATATGTGGTGAGGGAGAAAATATACTACTACAAATACTACTACTAAAATTAATAAATGAATATGAAAAATTATGTATATATATTTGGAAGAAGAAGAAGAAGAAGAAGAAGAAGAAGAAGAAGAAGAAGAAGAAGATGATGATAGTGAGAAAAATAGATATGAGGTGAAGGAGAAAATATAGTACTACTACTACTAAAATTGATAGAAGAAGAAGAAGAAGAACAAGAAGAAGAAGAAGAAGAAGATAAAGAAGAAGAAGAAGAAGAAGAAGAAGATAGTGAGCAGAAAATAGATATGTGGTGAGGGAGAAAATATACTACTACAAATACTACTACTAAAATTAATAAATGAATATGAAAAATTATGTATATATATTTGGAAGAAGAAGAAGAAGAAGAAGAAGAAGAAGAAGAAGAAGAAGAAGAAGATGATGATGATAGTGAGAAAAATAGATATGAGGTGAAGGAGAAAATATAGTACTACTACTACTAAAATTGATAGAAGAAGAAGAAGAAGAACAAGAAGAAGAAGAAGAAGAAGATAAAGAAGAAGAAGAAGAAGAAGATAGTGAGCAGAAAATAGATATGTGGTGAGGGAGAAAATATACTACTACAAATACTACTACTAAAATTAATAAATGAATATGAAAAAATATGTATATATATTTGGAAGAAGAAAACACGGATCTTGAAGTGGAGATTCTAAAAATATGGCACATGAGGAGATCAATATTTACATTTGTAGTTAGAGCCCTCGGATTGATTGGAAACGGTTCCATAGACTCATTGAGTCCGGGTAGCCCATGCCTTACAGAAATGGTAACTGTTTTAGTCAAAAGTACAGCTCACGAATTATCAGGAAGAATACAAGGATCCTGTTATGGAGCTAAAAAGGTAACGGAACATGAGGGTAGATCTAATTCCCGTTGTCTTTGGTGAGCTTGGAATAGCGCTTAGGAAACAGAAAAAAAAATCAGGGCTTAGGGAAAAATGGAACTAAAGATCAGATTATAGTCCCCCAGAAAATTGCCATAATTTACTCTGAGTTGATTCTCAGAAATGTTCTTGAACTGTGAGTGGTTTTTGAGACCATGTCAAAAGAACAGCATTTAAATTGACTACGCCAATATGGGACAAAAGTATAATAATAATAATAATAATAATAATAATAATAATAATAATAATAATAAGGAACGATCAAATTCGACCGCCCAGACATTGTTATTAAAGACTACAAACAAAAAAAGTGCCTCCTTATTGATATGGCAGTCCCTGCTGATTGCAATGTATCTTTGAAGATATTCAAAAAGCTGTCAAAATACAAGGACCTTGAAATAGAAATCTCGAAAATGTGGCATATGGGAACATCAACAATTCCTGTTATAGTTGGAGCCCTCGGATTGATTGGAAAAGATTCCAGTGGACTAATTGAAGAGGTACCTGGAAGTCCATGCCTAAAAGAGATACCAAAAATTTTCCTCACAAGTACAGCCCACACTTTACGAAGGGCTTTATCAATGTAATTTTTTTTTTTTTTTTTTTTTTTTTGTCAGTGGAAAGTGTCATGATGCCATTTCTAACCTTAGGTCCCTGAGTGGGATCCGAAAAGAAATGTGTAAACGCCAGAAATCAAAGGAAATAAAAGTAATAATAATAATTAATTTTTGGGCGACAATACAACTGAAAGTAAATGACATTAATAGATGTGGACATTACGGTAGTTCGATTCCTGTTGTCATAGGTTACCAAGTAGGCATCTATGCAGACGACACTACTATTTAATCCTGCCTCAAAAACAAATCTAGTGTCACCGATAAAACTACCCTGGCGTTTGTCTCACAAAGGACCTCCAATCGGTTGTGGACTGGGTCAGGAATTGGCTGGTTAACTTTAATGCCTCAAAAACAAAACTGTTTTCTATTACTCACCACAGAGAACCATACCTGCCTCCCATTAAAATGTCTGACGCTCAACTCCACGAGATCACCTCTTTGCAACTGATCGGTCTCACATTATCTGATGACCTGAGATGGAACAAATACATTGAGTCAATTGCTTCGTCCACTGCAAGGAAAGTTGGCTCCCTGTGCCGCGCCAGGAATTTTTTTTCTCGCCGGAGTCGATCCATCAAACCAACAAATCAACCATTCGCCCTGTAATGGAGTCTTACTGCCATATATGATCTGGAGCCCCTTCTGTTTGTCTCAGTGTTCTTGATAAGATCCAGAGACGGATATGCAATGTAATCGGCTTTGATCTGGCATCTCGTCTGCAGTCGCTTTCTCACCGACGTACCGTCGCCTCCCTCTGTCTATTTTACAAATACTTTCATGGTAATTGCTCCGATGAGCTGCCTTCGTTGGTTCCCAGACTTTATGAATTTAAGCGTTCAACTAGGCTGGCATCTCGCTCTCACCTTTTCACTGTCGAAACTGTTAAAGGTACCTGTCTCTTCTAATCCAATAGCTTCATGTCTTTCACTTCTTGCCTGTGGAACTCACCCCCCTTTCCTTGTTTCCCTGATAGCAATAATCTTCAACTATTCAAATGTAATGTCAATCGACGTCTCCAGATGCCTTGATCTATCCCCTATCCTTCTCTTCATCCTTTGCTCTACCACTCCTATTTGCTCTCGCTCCAACTCTCTTAAACCCCTTGCGTACTAGTGGCTTTGTGCCTTGCTTGGAGTGAAACATTTAAAAAAAAACAGTTTAAAAATGAAGCCCAGGTACAAAATGGTAACGTTGTAATTTTATTCCGATGATCTGTGAAAGCCTTATAGCACAAATCTTATCATTTACTGAATCTTAACGAATTGTATATAGACAACATTTATAGCCCATTATATCACCGGCATATCCAAG